CCGTCCCGGGTCACGGGGCGACGGCCACGGGCTGGGGCGCTGCTGCTTGGGAACTGCGCACCGCTCGGGGCCCTGCCGGGTTATATTTGGGATTACAGAGACTCAGGAAAGGATGAGGATGGAGGCAGACATATCACATCTTCTAAAATGTGGCATGGAGTGGGATCTGGAGTCTGCAGGTCTGATCCAGCAAGTGCGAACCTAAGCAATCTTTTTTTTTTTACCCCTCCCAATTTTTTTCTTTTTGGAGAAGGTTAATTCCTTCGGATGGACTCAGCAGGGATGCGGCGTGTCAAAGCTTTGCAGAGCTGGGAACGGGGTGGCGTGCTGGTCGAGGCACACCTGGGGCACTTCCCCAGGTACCCCGGAAGGCTAGGGCTAGCTGATGCTATAAACACCCTATTAATTGCCTCCAAATCTTTATCACAGCGTAACTACAGGTGCAATGGCATTATCAGCTATCGGTGTCATTTATTCCAAGCAGTCATCAGTAATTCCGGTTATCTTCCTTGGGTATCCCCTATCCCCACCCTATCAGAGCATCTCAGAAGCTTTAATCTCTCCGCGCAACGCCCAGGGGAAGCGGAGCCGTGTAATGACTGATGAAGAAAAAACAGAGGAGTTCAAGGCACAGGTCCCTGGGGACAGAGACGTGAAAGGGCAAGTTAAAATAACTGGACTGTAAATAAGCAGTGTGGAGAGCAGAAAGCAAATAATATATGACAAACCTTACATGAAGGGATCGATATTGCACAATATATACAAATATAAGAGAAAGGGGGGAATTTTAATGCTTTCAGTGTTGTTCTGAAATTCAAAGAAATATTTAGCAGCCCCACAGGGCGGTTTGTTTGCGTCCCTGGCCGTGCCAGGTTTGGGTGTGTGTCCCCTGCAGCTGGGGAGAACCCCCCCCATTATGGGGTGGCTGAAGGCACCCCAGCACATGATGCAGGTCACGCTGAAGGGACGGAGATGCCGACCCTTGTGCCACCCCAGGTCCCCTGATGGCATTTGGGGAAAGCCAAGGCTTTGCTCTCAGCTTGATTTTGGCAGTCCTCATGTATTCCTCTGCTTTTTGACCTCCAAACTTTTGTTTTGAGACCAAGTTCATTTTTTAGCTTATGTAGCTCTTTTCCCTCCTTGTATTTATCTGTCCTTGCACTCTCAGACAGAGTTGCATGGAGGCAATACACCCCTTCTCTGCCTCCAGATTGCCACGACCCTGAACCCCGGCATCACCCGCACTCCTCCCGCTGGGTTCAGCTCTTTCGCCCACAGATGCCAAGGCCGACCCTAGCCAATTCCTCTGCTTTCTCACCTGCCAGGCAATGGTTTCACTACTTATCACCCTTTTTTTTTTTTACTTCTTCTAATCATCTCTGATCTCTGCTTACTCCAAACAGGGGACCGAGGGCCCCGAAGCTGCTATTTGAGAATTAAAGAAAAAAGCAAAAAAGATTGGATCTGCAAGCCGGTAGTGACGGGTGGAGGCACTTCAGCTTACGGCTTTTAATTCCCTCTACCAAAATACATGTGACGGATTACACAGAGCACAGGCAATAGCCAGAGCCTTGCTGTGCCTAATGCTCTCCATTACTTTTATTGGGGAAAGTTAAATAGGAAAATAAAAACCACTTTATGTGAAACAAGGATGGGAGGGCAGGAGCAACCGGCATCATCCACAATGTCAGAATTGGCTTCTCAACTGATATTTTGGATTATATCAGATAAAGGAGTTGGCTGTAAGACAGGACCCAAACAGCAGTATTGTGGCCAAGCCCAAAGCCTGGGGGACCCCCCTTTATTGAGGGATTTTCTCCTGTGTTCAGGTGGAGATGCTCTGACTCCTTTTCTTCCCCTCCTCCTCCTCACTCCTCATCGGCTTCTTCTACAAAGAAACCCCAGGTCAAAAACGACCCACTACCTGCAGGCACACCCCGCAGCCTCAGCACAGGGCAAGGGCTCATGCAGAGCCCAGCTTTTAGTGGAGATCAGGTATAAACACAGACACTGCCAACACAGGGATAAGCAGGAGAAAAAATTTATTTACATCTTTCGAGCAGTAACACAGCTGCGGCAATTCACCAGGAAGAAACTCCAGGAAGAAAACTCGTCGTGACGTGCCAGTGGTGCCCCACGGGCGGGGAGACCATCCTCCCACCACACAGTATCTTGGGTTGGTACAAAATTGCTGTCGCTTTAGAAAAGGTGTGAGATTCACAGTAAAGTACCGAAGGGGAGTGGGGTGGGGAGGAAAGGCAAGGGACACATATCGCTCCAGGACCTCATCCCTGCTGGTATTTGGTCTATGAAAATGTATTATAAGACAACTCTTGTAGAAAAATCTATCCCGAGGGCTCATGCACAGTTGTGGGAATTCTACATCTACTACAGGGCTCAAAGCCTTTAAAACAAGTGCTTGGGAGGCTCTCCTGGGGCAAACGCATCTGCAAGCCCTGTCCTGCTGCTGGGCGCTGCGTGGGGCAAGCCCCTCTGCAAGGAGGCATCTTGCAGCAGGAAAGGAAAACCCACCCCCCCATCATCCCCTCCTGCCCAACGCTGCTAGAAAGAAAACAGCATGCACATTTTGGCTATTTCTAGAGTTGTGTTTAAAACTGGCCCAGACCTTCTTCCAAGGGTCATGGGAAAATCTAAAACCTTTCTTAAATAGGATTTCATTGCAGGGTGGAAGATTTCCATCCTTGCAGCCCAGGAGCTCTGGGGGGATGGAAAGGCCCCCCGGGACAGCAGTGAAACCCAGCAGTCCCTCCACTCCCACCTGGGAAATGCTCATCTGGAGTGGGATGCGGAGCCCTCCCCTGCTGCTGCTGCCTCATTGCTCTCACGAACAGGCAGGCGACAAGCAGGCAGCACATGGGCAGAGATCCCGCTCGGCAGATGCCCGACGGCTTCTGGCTCCATTACTGGGAGAACACCAGAGCAAAACTGCCTCCAACGGAGAGAGCAAACATCAGGGGCTCCTCTGACAGCATGAGGATGCAGGTGGCTCAGCAGGGATAAAAGACTCCCGGGATGCGCTGAAGTTTCGCACACAGAGCCCATGCAACCCTAAAAAAGTCAGTCAGCTCCACCTCCTCTGCTGCAGGGCCACTCTCCAAGCAAAAATAAAAACAGTGACATTTCAGCAACAGAAACTTGCCCAGTCTGCTCTAATTAATCAAACGGGTGTAGGGGAGTGACAGCTTTTCTGCCTCCCTGCTGAGCCACCCATGGCAGACTGCGGCATGCTCTGCAAACGCAAGCAGCTTCATGCAGAGTTCCCAAAAGTCGATGCTAAAATTCAGCGCTTTTTTTTTTTTTAAACCTTTAAAAATACACATCTTGCTTTTTTCTTAAATATATATTCTATAAAATAAGGCAACTCGAGGAGACAAAAAGAACATCCCCATTGCTTAGGTACTGCATCCGACCATCAAAGAGGGTTACAGTACTTCCAGTTGAGAAAAGCCACTCCACCTGGCCCCAAAGCTCCTGCGCATGAGAAGAGGAGCAACACACTTGGAGGAGCTGCAAATCTTGGGGAAATCCCTGGGCATGGCCCTCGGCAGCCCCTACACGCATCCCAGGGAAGGGAAGGCTCTCGCCCTTCTGGGGGTTCGTGGGGAGGAAGCCGCTTCTGCCGGAGATGCTGCAGCTGCAGCAGGTACCGCTTAGGGAACACCTAATCTCCGGGGGACCTCAGCGACAAAGGCAGCACACAAGATGGAATGACTTCATTTCTCCCCAAAACTGAAGCACACATTAAAATAAATCTCTGGGAGAAACTCTTATAACATGACTGTATCTTGTAGTATTAAAAGCTATAAACAAGGTAAGCACAAAGGAGTGCAACTCATCCCCAGCACAGATCCTGCTCAGTGTCACAGCATCTCATAAAAACTAGACCGTACAGCAGCTTTTTATAACAGGGGTTTCACCTCTCTCTATGGAAGAAGCACAAGGGTGTGTTTTACTTCCAATGTTTTCCCTCTTCTATGTGTAGAAATGCTGGAAATGTGAGCTTTGCAGTGTACACACTTTCCATGCTGCTCACCAATTCCCACTGGGCTAAGTCTTCCTTTTTAGAGCATTGTTTCTCTGAGAAATAAATTTAATAGAAAATAATTTATAGAAAAAAACCCCAACCTAGAGAGTAATCTGCAGTAAACAGTACCGTGGAGCAACGGGATGGCACACTGTAGGCTCAGAGCCTGGGGTTTGTATGGGGGTGGCAGGGACAGCATGGCAAGCTGTGTAAACCTGGCATGGTCATTAACCAGGTTTGCATTGCTGATCCATGTGTGTTCTTGGACCGTAGGCAGGAATACTTTATAGCCTCAAAAGAGAAAAAGAAAACCCTTATTCTAGCAGACTTGACCTTATAACCAAAGACCTTTTCGCCCCGATACTGGCTATAATCATCTGTCCACTGATGTCACCCAGTACACCTGGGGAAGGGACTTCAGATACCACACAATCGCCTAATCTGAGCACAGCCTCAGCACCACGCAGAGAAACCAAATCCGTGATGGCGTTAACTCTTGGTCCTTGGCACAAGCTGTTTAGTGCTCCTCATCTGAGAGAACGGGTGGGATCTTGCTGGAAAGCAGGGTGTACACGTATGGCCAGATCTTGTTGGTCTCTGTCCCCGAGAAGGAGTGAAGGATGCCTCTGCTCCTGGAAGAGAGATGGAAGGAGAAGTCAGTACCAGGGGTATTTGCGGTCCTGAGGACAAGGGTCAGGTTGCAGTCAGGCTGGCTATTGGCAGGAGACAGCCTGGCCAGGCTGGAAGCTCACCGATGGCTTTTTGGGCAAGAGGAGGGGGATAAAGGGGATGAGTGGCGCCTGCTCCCATCCGCAGCATTCACTGGGAGGAGCCCAGCTGCACTTGCACATGGATGAGCCAAACCCAGATAACCACGAATAATCACATTACCCAGGAGAGCTCACCCTCGTCCCCCACTCATTCTCTGAAGTGCTTTAGAGATGTAAATCAGCAGGATTTATTCATGTTGCTTAAGCAAGTGGGAAATTCAGGGCCCCGATTCTCTCCCCTCCAAGGGCACTTTTGGGCCCCCATGGACCACTTCTGCTTTTACAAATGCTCCCAGGTGCTCACTCCCTTTCAGCAGCAGACTGCCACGCTACAGCAATCCATCTATTCCCAACTTGGCCAGGGAACGACTTCCCCAAACTACCAGTAGCACAGAAGGGACAAGCCCTGAAACATGTCTGTGCTCACAGCAGACCCATCCAAGCCAGCCCCGTCCGAGCCAGCCCCGAAGTCTTGCTCTTTTCCTGCCCTCTTGCCAATCATCCTCTACTTTACCTAAATGCCTCGGGGCCCTGGACTGATTTTTTGCAGCATGACTGCACAGCATATACCGATCTGCACAGTGCAGGGTGAACGGCTTTCTTTGAAGCAGGGTAGAAAGCAGCTCATGGGTGCGTGCAGGAGGGGAGCTGCTCTCTGCAACATCACCGTCCCCACCTGCCCGCAGACACTCGGCTCGCTCAGCAACAGCTCTGAACATCTCAGACCTTCTCCATCTCGTGTGCTGGAGGACACTCACCCAAAAGGAAGCTAAAACTCTTAACTGGTTGGGTTTTGTAGCACTGATGGGCAGCACCCCTACAAAGCAAACAGGCTTCCCACCTTGTGCAGTGGGGCTGGGGGGCAGAAGGGATTTGCAAGTGCCTTCTGCCGCAGCCAAAAAATCCCTCCCATCGCCAGCACTGGCAAAGCCTTTTGTGGAGCCCAGCAAGAGAAACAGGAGCTGTGAATTTCTTTACATCAGCCTCCTCCCTCCAAACAGGGCCAAGGCTTGGCTGCAATGAAGGGCTGGGCTTTGTGCCACTGAATGCAATGATCTGCCCCCCAAAATCTGTTGGGGACCATGCTGGGGCTCCTTGGGCTATCGAGATGGGGACATGGGACTGGCTGGTGGAAACAGCACTCATGCCTGTTTTTACAGGCACGCCATGATTTATTCACATGGTCCAACTCACTTGTACAACTCTATTACTGGCTTTGCAGCATCTTTATATTTTCGGAGCCTGGCAGCAACGGCCTCAGGTTTGTCGTCCTCACGCTGGACCAGTGGCTCACCCGTCAGGTCATCGATGCCCTGCAGGAAGGCAAACACCATTGAGGGGTTGCAGCCACCAGCCCCATAGCCCATGATGCAGCTTCCTGCCACACAACCACTGCCAAATGCCTCGTCCCACTCTGCATCAATTGAGCATTCTCAGACAGCATTTAACATAAAACTCATTTTCCTAATTAATACTCAGCACAACCTCTTCAGGCTGGCTCCTAAGGGCAAAGCCCTCCGGTGCTCAGTGTTTACTACCTGGGATTTCTTCCCCAATGCTTTTTTACGATCTCAGGTCAGGCAGAGAAAGGCTTCTCTGATCTTCTTCTGTGAATTGCTCCCAGCCACCACCACTGTCATGCTTCGGGCTCTTACCTGGACATGGGGGGGGTTGAAGTCCATGTTGTACACCCTCCCGCTGGCCGGGTGGACCCAGCGGGCGCTCAGGCGATCCTTCAGCGTCTCGAAGGGTATGTTCAAGCTGATCACCAGGTCCAGCTCGCAGATCCTGTCCAGTGCCTCGGCTTGCCCCAGCGTCCGAGGGAAACCTGTGCAGGCACCGCAACAGAAAGGGGCTGTGGGGAGAGGCAGGAAAGCAGCAGTGATGGGAGCCAAAAGCACCCACCCCGCAGTCCCCGAGCTGCAAAACCACTGCGGCTCCTCGCTATAGCACAAGCAGTGTGAAAGACAGGCATCCACCATATGGCTACAATAAAAAATAGCTCCTACAGCACCGACTCCCGAAATACAACACATGGGTCACCGTGGGCTCATGTTTTCCTGCAAAGTCGTGTCTGATGCAGGGCTCGCATCCCTGCACAGGAGCTGGAGGCAAGTAAGAGGGCACAGGCAACAACAAAACGGGGATAAATGCTGGAATTAGAAAGAAAAACCTGAAGAAAACAAAATGTTGTACACAGATGAGTAACACACTACTGATTTACATGGAGGACTTCAAGAAGACTGCAATAAAATGGTTTGCACAGCCATCACCCAGCTCTCTGAAACCCCCGTCCTCCGAAGGTACCAGGCAGTAACTTTTGTTTGAAAAGCCAGCAAGCGGGTGCTGCCAAACCACAACCAGGGGTGACTCCGAGCCGGTCTCCTCTCCAGTTTTCTCTGCTGACAACACCCTTTTTTCACTTTTTTAACCTTTTGTTACACCCTTTTAAAAATCTTCTAAGACCTCCCAGGTTTTTCCCAAGCAGAGTATTATTAGCCAAGAGCTTGTCAGGACATCAGCACAGGGAATGAATCAGCCGTTATGAGAAAGAATATATTTAGTCTGTCTTACCAAGTAAAGTCGGTCTGATATTTATGTTATCAAACGGATCACTTGAAATAAATACGTTCCTTGTCACAGTACTGCTGGAGTGGGGCTCTGACTGCAGCCACCGCTCATGCCCCCAGGCAGAGGAATTGCCTCAAAACTAGGAGGAAAAATGTGACCGCGCAGGGCTGCCAGCATCGCTGCTGCCTGTGTTCAGACTTTAGCTTATGGGGCAGCCCATCCCTCAAACGTCTTGGTGTAAGTGGAGGTCAGCACACAAAGCAGGCGGTTCCCGAAATCCTCATTACAAGCCCACTACCGGAATTGCTTCACCCTTGCGGCATCCTTGGCGGGACCTCTGGATGTAAAGCTGTGACGAAACAGGAGCTGGTCCCCAGGCCAGGCTGCTAGGGGTCATACGATAAATCGACATCCCAAGCTGCAAGAGCCCAGATCTGAGTGTGTCAATGCAAACCTCCACAAATGTGTTGAAAAGCCAGAGTGTTAATACAATGAAATATGTACTTGTTTATGCAGTGCTTGTTGCTGTAATATTTGTTACTTGCCATGTTCCCTCAGGAATTAAGTGGCATCACGGTAAGAATAATGAAATTTTAATAGTGGGGATTCACACGCAGCTTATTACAGGGCTTGAGGTCTCTGATATCCTCTCCACGAGCCCAGTGGAGCAACACTGCCAGACCCCCAGTGCTGACCCTGCCAGATCCCCAGTGCCCGCTGGGGTGAGAAGAGCTTGACCAGACCCCAAGCCCCTGCACAAGCCACCCCTCCTCTGGGGCTACACACGGCCATGTGGGGAAGAAGCCCGGCTCCACCAGCCCTCCAGCCCATGGCACTAAACTGCAGACTTACTTTATTTGTAAACTATTTTGTACTTTCCCTATCAGGAGCCTGAGAGCTCTCTGAAAGCCCAAGTCTGTTATAAATCAAGTGGCTCAGTCTTATCTATGTATTCACTGACTCTTTCAAAGAGCTTCAGCAAACTGGCAAGGGAGGGTTTCTCCCCTTACAACAGCCACGGCCACTCATCCCCATTTGTCACACTTGCCAGTGCCCAACACTGCAGGTAAGTGCAACCCGCCAAGCCCTGTCCCATCCCCTAACCAAGCCCCAGTGTGATTTCTAGAGTTGCCTCCGGCACTTGCCAGCTCCCAGGCCACCAGCAGCGATGCACCACGGCTGCTGGCAGGCAGCTTCACTGCCGAGGGCTGCAGGAGCTCCTGGCAAACAAACCTTCTGCTGCTCCTCTCACCACTTGCCTTGCCAGTTTGCTCTCAGCGTTTTCTCCACCCGCACCTCAGGTAGCTTTCGGGCTTGGGATGAGTAGCTCCTTCGCACAGATACGGAGGCGGTAAGAGGTTTTTCTTGGCTTGCCTCCGGCCCTGCTCTGCTTACTGGCTCTGCTTTATGAAACACCCATCTCCTTTCCCTGCCTGCCCCTTTCCCTGATGTGTGCCAAGGGCTCAGCTGGACACACTCGGGGCAGAGAGAAGAAACACCCGTGGGCAGATGTCTCTGCCAGCAGGTTGGCTCCTGCCTCTCCTCCCATGGCCGGCAGGACCGGCAAAGGCACCTTCTGTTTTTTCTCTCTCCTAGTGCTGCCAAACCATTAGCAGCAAAAACAATGTTTTAAAGGGGGCTGGGATTTTCCCATCCAGAGGGGACACCGGCAGCGTACTTACCATCAAGCAGCCAGTGCTGCTCTCGCCGCTTCTCCAGCTCCGTCATCATCACACGTGTGATGACATGGTCCGGCACCAGAAGGCCTCGCTCAAGGTACTGCTTTGCCAAGACACTAACTTCTGCAGAAAAGAAGAAAAAAAAAAAAGGGGGGGGGGGTGGAAAAAAAGGTACTGCTTAAAAAATATCACTCCCCCTCAAATTCTGCCTGTCCTTCCAAATCACTTATCCAGGAGCCTTTTGGCAGCATCCCTCTGCTCATAATGTTGCTCCTGATAGCCAGGGTCCACACAGTCCTTTTGGTGCTGCAGAAATGGAAATGCCTGATATACCCGAACGCAGGATCACAGCGCACACTGGCCAAGCCCTCGCAGCCCTGTCAGCCGGCTGACAGCAGCAAGGGCCACCGGGACCATCCTTGCCACGCTGGATGTACACACCACATGCTACACACGAAGCTCCTTTGGTTTTGGAGAAGGCACCGGTGTGGTTACAGGTGACACTGGCATGGATATTAAATGTCATGGACCAGCTGCAAAGGATGCAACCAACCTCCACGTACCTCTGGCGGGATGCTCACCCCATCCCCAACCGCAGATCTGGCCAACATCCCTCTGCCTGGCTCACTCTTGCTTTAAAGCAATGTCAGTGCCAAACACAGGATGCTAATAATGCCTATTCCTATATGCACTGAGCCACAGCTGCAAATTCCTGTGCCTTAAAGGAGGTTTCCAGTAAAACCATGAGGACAAATGATGCATTTGAGCAATGCCTGCAGATCTGGCAGCATTTGGCTCATAGGCACAAAGTTTCCATGTACAACCACCATCAGGAGAAGCTGGCATCATCATTTATAAACAATATGAACAGGTGCAAATGCACCATTTCACGTGCGAAATGTGACAATAAACAGGCATCACCAGCGACCTCATGAGAAACCCAAACCCCAAAGCATTTGTTAAATCGCTGCTGAAAGCTGAAGACGGCTTCCCATCCAAAGAGCTTTAAGACTTCAGAGCCTCAAGTTGAGATACGCTCAGATAAGAAAATGATTTTCAAGATCAAATCCTTAAGAACATAATTGTGGTGTAACTGCAAGGTAAATATACCTTACCAGGCGCCTGCCTGGGTCTCCCCCACATCACTCCACTGGAACCAACAGTGCTGGAGGAGAAGCCAGCAGTGGTTTCTGCACAGGTAACATCATGTCTGGATCCACCTTCACGGCAGCCTGGCCAAGAAGCCAGTGTAATAAGGGTTTATTCTGCTTACATTTTTATTGCAGCTGGGGCACAGCAGATGTTACTTCAAGAAGAAATGCACTAAATTCTGTTGCTTCATACACTACAGTTTGCCTGCAATTTTCTTTCAGCCACTTGGAGAAAGAAAGAAACTGTTTGGGAAATGCAAATATTCTTTGCCATCATGTGTGACAAGTCTGATCCTGCCACCAGAAGGGGACCAGCATTTTCCTCTTGGACCAGGACCCGATCAACACCTCTTCTGCTCTCTTCCGACGGCAGCTGAAATAGCATTTGTCACCAGAAATGAATAATTTTGCAATCAATTTTTGCAAGATTTTTTGCTGAGGACAGCACATTTTAGCCCTCCCAAAGTATGAGTCCTCTCTAAAAAAAGCGACAGGATCCTGCATTTGGAGGCAGGCTCTGGTTTTCCAGACTGCAGGAAGATGTCAGACCAGGCAGGCGCGTGCATCTGGCCACGGGCTGCACTCCTGAGCTGCAGCAGGGTTTTTTTGCAAGATATACAGTTCCTGGATATATCAGTTCATCTGATCTAAGAGGGGAGCCTGACATAGCCTGCACGGATTTCCCCAGGAGCGTGGGGCCAAGGTGCATACAGGAAACCTCGCAGGCTCCCAGAATGGCCTGTGGACGATGCCCGCCAGGAAAGTGGGGCAGGTCAGGGCTGCCCGGCGAGCCACACTCCCCATTGGAAACCTGCCTCCAAAACAGGGCAGGCAGCGGGCGCTGACTCACAGCCTGTAGGGCTGAGTCACTGGACCACGGTGCATCCTCTTCCCTCTGCTCCATAAAGGCATTTTCAGCTCACCCTGCTGAGCAGCTCTTTGCTCAGAGCCATGGTGGCTGCCAGGCACAGCGAGCAGCAGAAAATACCTTTTTTCAATGACAAGCTTTTTGTCACTGCCCATACGTCGCCAGCACTGCTGGCAGTTCTCCTGCTTGGGGAAGCAAAGGACGTGGGGATGAAAATAATACGTGATGTCTTACGCAACCAGCATGGAGACCTGCTAGGGCATAAATATTATCACATCCGCCTACATTTTTTTATATTTATTCACATGGTCTGCACATTGCCACAGGCTTGCAGGGAACGCACTTGCTGGCAGGGCAGAGCTGCTCCCAGGGCAGAGCCCAGCATCTGCAGGGGCTGGAGCTGCAGCAGGAGGTCCTGCTGCTGGCCCGAGGAGG